CAGTAAACAAAGATCCAACAGTCAACAAAGCATAATCCATAAACTGAGCGAGTGACGAACGTGGACCCTAAGCATAGACCTAAGAGGCTGGTTAATGCCATCGCAGAAAAACTCTATCAATACACAGTCTGGTAAATCAGAATAGTGAGCGATGGCTAAAAACTCTTGAGTATAGTTCTCCAATGATCGTGTGCCCTGTTTAAGGGCTAATAAAATTCTTGCTGTGTCCATACCTGGCCAATGTCCACTTGAACAGCTGCTGGATCCTTGTGTGGCCGAGTATTCTGTTACGGGGCTGACAAGACTTGAGACGTGTGGATCCATGTGCAAGCTATTTATTAGCAGAAGACAGAGACGTGGTCACAGAACAGGCATGGGTCAGAGAATGGCAGACAGGTATAAGGCGGGCAAGACACAAGAAGACACCTAAGGCTAGCGGAGGTCAACGATCGGCAAACAGAATCAAAATAGGGCAAACGAGAGGAGGAATCCGAGAGACACAGGCGAAGATCAAGAAACGAGAACACAGACAAGGCAAGACTAATGCTGAGTTCACACTGCACGATATTAGTGCTCGTTCACGCGAGTGACAATCACGCAGTGTGAATTATCAAAGACACGTCGCCGAAGCCAGCAAAATATTTGGCATGCTAAATATCTGGAGCTGTCGGCGATTCACAATCACGCTGTGTGAAATTAGTTCTGACTGAAAAACACATTGGCGATGACCTACAGCCAATGAGAGACCAAGATACAGGGCAGAGGGAAGTTTGGGGCGGAATTATAGACCAGAATATCGGTATTTTAATATATATATGAACGATTATATCATACAGAAACAAGCAGAAACATTTGCTTGACCAGACACAACATCAGCATAACAGTTACTGCAAAATTATTTACCTCCAACTCTCTTTGCAGAACACCCAATCCCTGTTCCCTGCATCTCCCTCCTGCATAATCAGGTTTTCTTTTTCTCCTTGTAGCCGGAAATCAGCTCACAGACAATTTGCGGGTTATATATTTTGTTCTTAAATAATTACAGTCTTGCTGGAGAACTTCGGTCTGACGCACGCAGGTTCTCGCGTTATTTCTTTATCACTTCTCGCGTGCGTTTTGTTGTGAAACGTAGTTTGCAGACCAGACAGAGCTGTCGGCGATTCTTCCTATTGTGAAGTCATGCAGTGTGAAACCCCCTGTCGCGGATCCATCGTGCAATGTGAACACAGCAGCAACTGAATGCTATCCCAGATAGTCACGCAGTGTGAAAACAACGGCGATCCGACGAGTTTGAAAATCGTGCAGTGTGATCTCGGCATAAGGTGAGGAGGCTATGACAAACTAAACAGGCTCCGTAGTGTAGCTATCACTAGGGGAGTGATAAACGCTAAACAATACTCAGCAGAGGGAAGGGATCAGAGTGAGTGTTAAATACGGAGTGAGTCATATGAAACAGCTGTGTGCAATAAGTGCTGTGTGCAAATCAGTGCTGTGTGCAATCAGTGCAATGAATGATGAGATATGTAGTCCGGGGTGATATGCAACAGGGTGTAGTGCGAGAGTCAATGAAAATGGAAAGGGTGATGGCTAGCAGACGGAAGTTCATGGACCGGATTCGTGACAGGAATGGAGTTATCCAGTTATGATAGAAGGAAATGAAACTGCAGTAACTAATACAGAAAAGGTAGAGATGTTGGCAAAAGCTTTTGTTAAAATAAATAGTTCTAATAATTTGTCAGAGGAGGGGAAAAGAGGTAGAGAAAGAACAAAGGAAGAGAATAGGGGTGCATTAAGCAGGAAAAATAATGGAGATGGAGGACAAGATGTCCCTTTTAACATGGGAGAACTGCAAAGGGCATTGAATAGGACAGGGAAAACTGCGCCAGGGACAGACAAATTATGGTACAGTATGCTAAAACATTTAAGTCTAGAAAGTCAGGAGAAACTACTGATGTTGTATAACAGAGTGTGGGAGGAGGGAAGGTTACCAAAAAGTTGGAAAGAGGCAGTAATTATTCCAATAAGCAAGCCTGGCAAAGATCCAAGAAGTCCGGGAAATTACAGGCTAATTGCACTAACGTCACATATTTGTAAGTTAATGGAGTGCATGATCAATTAAAGACTTATGTATTTTCTGGAGAGTAAAGATATAATTGCCAGTTGTCAAAGCGGATTTAGAAAAGGAAGAAATACAATGGATCTGGTAATAAATTTGGAGGATGAGATAAGAAAAGCTCAAGTAAACAAAGAGACAGTGGGAACAGTGTTTTTGATGTGGAGAAGGCATACGACATGATGTGGAGGGAGGGACTTTTAATTAAATTGCATTTAATGGGAGTTGGAGGGAAAATATTAAATTGGATCATGGATTTTTTTTAATGGAAGGATTATACTTCCTATTATACATGATTAATGATACATACTCAGAGCTTCCAGTGGATATGGGGAGATCCCTGTTTGCAGATGATGGAGCTATATGGAAGAGAGGAAGAAACGGCGAATTTATAAACAAGAAATTACAAAAGGAAATTAATCAAGTTGAAGAGTGGGGGACAAAATGGGGATTTAAGTTCTCAGTGGAAAAAACAAAAGTAATGATCTTTACAAATAAAAAGAAGGCTAAGGAATGCAAGGTGGAAATATATGGAACCACTTTAGAGAAAGTAGAGTGTTTTAGATTCTTGGGAGTATATTTTGACATAAAACTAACAGGGAGGGAACATATAAAGTACACAGTGTATAAATGTAAAAAAGTGCTTAATGCAATGAGGTGTCTTGCAGGATTGGAATGGGGAGCAAGTTTTTCAGCTCTGAAATATATTTATATTGCACTAATAAGGTCTAAATTAGATTATGGTTGTACTGTGCATGGGTCAGCAGCAAAATCTGTGTTAAATGAATTGGATGTTGTGCAGGCACGAGCTTTAAGAATATGTTTAGGGACAATCAGAACTTCCCCAGTGTGTGCACTTCAGGTTGAAGCAGGTGAAATGCCTCTATGGCTACAAAGGAAACAACTGGTAGCCAACTATTGGATTAATTTAAGAGGGCATGGGGAAAACCATCCAACGAAAAAGGTGCTACAGAATTGTTGAGAGAAGGAGAGGAGGAAAAAAGAAAGTTTTGGCTGGACAGGAGATTTAGCAAAAGAAATAGACATATATGACAAAGAATTTGCTAGTACACTGAAAAAAATGTTTAATTCATCCAATTAAAAAAATGTAGGGCAAGTTATTTATTTTTCATTGGCTCAAGTTAAAAATATATAGATGTGAATCATTACCCTAAATTTTTTTAATTGGATGAATGAAACATTTTTTTCAGTGTACTGTGGTGTGGACTAACAAACCAATCTGGACAATGGAAAATACAAAGGTGGACATAGAGCTTCTAATAATAAAAGGCAGCAGTAGGAGTACAGATATAGTCAGTGAATATTATAGATATATGGACAATATGCACAAAGATAGTATTAATTTTAGTAAATAATTTTTACAGATGGATCAAAGGATTTACAAACAGAGGCAACAGGATCTGCTGTATATATCCATAGATATCATGTGGGAGTAAACAAAAGAACGTCTGACAGCTTAAGTGTGTATCCAGTCGAGTTATATGCTGTATTAATAGCATTCGAATGGTTTGAACAATCCAGATGGGACAACGTTGTAATATGTAGTGATTCTGTATCTGCCCTCATGAGTATAAAGTCTGGGGTAACTAGAAACCATCAGGAATTACTTTATGAGATTTTATTTTCAAACTCAAGAATAAGCAAGCAAGGGAAAAACATCATATACATGTGGGTGCCAGCGTATGTGGGCATCCAGGGAAATGAGAAAGTAGACAGACTGGCAAAAGAAGCAACAAAAAAAGAACATGTTGATGTCAAAATTAAATTATCAAAAACAGAAAGGAAGAGTTTAGTGTGGAAAAAGATAATGCAAAAATGGCAGCATCACTGGGATAATTATATCAAAGGGAGACATCTGTACATGATACAAAATATGATAGGTATGGAAAGTAAGAAGGGAAATAAAAGGAAGGAACAAGTCATAATAAATAGACTGAGGATTGGACATTGCAAGCTAAACAAAACTCTTCATGTTATAGGAAAACACCCGACAGGACTATGTGATGAATGTCAGGAGGAGGAATCAATTAAGCACATCTTAATTGAGAAATATATACAAGAAAGGCAAGAGTTCAAGAATCACGGGAAATAGGTATAGTAGAGTATAATGTTAAAAATATAGTAACATACAGAAATAATTAGTTTAAGTATTTGCTATTGACTGTTCAAATGCGCATTGTGTGTTTGTGTGAGCGAGAGAGCGAGAGCGCAAGAGCGAGAGCGAGAGAGAGAGGGGTCACATCACAGTGGAGTCAGCTGTCTTAACCGTGGCTTGTGTACTGCAAACACATATTCATCACTGTGTCTGTCACGAAACTCTGTTCCCCTTTCGGGCTCTGTCTTTACATTTATTTTGAAAGATGAAGCTCGCGATTATGGTAAGGGGCGTTACATTTCCGACGAGTGCTTGCGGTGTTCGGCCAATCCCAATGGACTGGGTCAGCTGGCCAATCAGAGCAGACTGTGCTTGTCGGAAGGAGGGACTTTGTAGAAAACGAAGCGTTTGAGAGAAATGGGGCATAGAGGACTTACAATAATGTACAGTATTTGAAAAATAATGTGTTTTTTGAACATTAAAGCATGTCAACATATTCTGTTACACCAAATACACAAAATAACGATCTTTAAAAAAAAGCATCATATGACCCCTTTAAGATATAGTAAGTTAAAGTGAGACAGCAGATGGCAGTAATGCAACACTATGGATGCCAACTGCCGTCAATGAAGAAGAAGAAGGCAGACAGCAGGCAGGCAGCTGTAAACGTGACAGTGATTTGATTGGTTATGGTGACTCTGGCGTGGGTGGACCTATGGGGTGGACCAATAATAGTAAACAAATCCCGTGCGCGCATGCGTGGTGCGTGAGTGCTGATGGAGGTTTGTCAGGAGAAGCATCTGCTGTTAGCTAAACATCTCTAGTTAGGTTGAGGGCAGTTATTAGGGTTTTGTTCGACAGAGTCAGTAAGTATTTTTATATATTACCTCCTTCTTATTTTCTACATTTACGCAATTTCTATAATTTACGGTTTAAAATCATTGATAATAGTGGTAAAGTTGCTATCTTCGAAGAGCTAACGGTTGCACTTTCACTACTGCAACCAACAGCTAGTTTCCTCACTTGCGCAGGTTTTATATTATATTCATCATTTGTACTTATTACGTTGTGTATACCATATCGTGCACTTTATATTGTTTGAATCTTTTAACTTATCTGATGTTTTTGTACATGATAATGTTTACGTTTGGCCTAACTCGTTAGCTTAGCCACACGACTTTTAAAGAGACGCAGGCTTTAGCCAATCAGCATCAAAGCTTCTGAATACGAGGCGGTGCGTGCGAATGGGCGTGGCGTGCATTGTGTACACGCTTTACAGGCTGCACTGGACGAAAATGAGGTTTTGTCTCCCTGTCATAGCCATATAAGGCTTATTTGCCAGTCTGTTCACATGTGGTTTGATATTTTTCACACAGTTCTGTGAAATAAGTCTAAAACAGGGGAAGTTAATGAAACCTAGCAACCCAGCATGTAAATAATGTAATGCCTGTGGTTTAAATTAAGCCACAGTGACTTGTCTGGATGTTTATATAATATTGAGAATATTGCAAAGATGAAGTCATTTTTAACATTAAGAGACATGGAGTCTGTAATGCATGCTTTTATCTCATCCAGATTAGATTATTGTAATGTATTGTACTTGGGTGTTTCACAGTCTCTATTGTCTCGTCTTCAACTTGTACAAAATACTGCTGCTCGATTGTTAACTGGAACAAGGAAGAGGGAACATATTTCACCAGTGTTGATCTCTCTCCACTGGCTCCCAGTTAAATATCGTATCCATTTTAAAACATTATTGTTTGTTTATAAGGGTTTCCATGGGCTGGCTCCATCATATATCTTCGATCTCCTTCTGTTCCATTGTAATGCCTCCAGGGAACTTCGATCAACTAGTAGTCTTCAGTTGACTGTTCCAAGGACACACTTTAAATCAAAAGGAGATCGTGCCTTTTCAGTGGCTGCTCCACAGCTATGGAACAAGTTGCCACCCTATATAAGAACTGCACCAACATACGCTGATTTTAAGTCTCTTCTTAAAACTTATTAATTTACTGTTGCTTATGGTCATAAGTAAGCGCAGTGGCATAACTGTAGTGTACTCTCTGTCGCTGTGTTCTATGTTTACTTTTGTATTTTTGTTATATGCTTAAATTTTGTACAGCACTTTGGCCAACAGCTGTTGTTTTTAAATGTGCTCTATAAATAAATATGACTGACTGACTGTGAACTCACTTGAAGAGTTTAGTAAAATCTTGCCAGGAAAATGTTTAGAATTTTTATCATGTTAATGTAAAAAATCTTGTGTGATATAACTTGTGTTTGCTGGTTTTTATTGTATTTGTTATACTTGTAATTTTTAAATAGTTTTTGCCATGAAAATAGCCTTTGATGCTGACATGGCATTAAATAAATATATTTACTATACTTGTATAATATTGTTAAGTCATCCCATATATTATATAGCAAGGGCTTTCAAACTGAGATCCTGCGCCCTCTTAAGTTTTTAGGGGGTCCTTGGAAAAGTTAGAAAGATGTGAAAGATTATAAATAAATGTGTAAATAAAAATACAAGCAGTGCAATAGAAAAAGTAGAAAAAATCATTCTAAATATTTTAGGCATATTTAATATTCAAGTCACAGTATAAATTTGTTTTTTAATGCAACTAACGATGTAGTTGCTTTTTAAATTTTAGGATACTTGTTCCTTGCGCTAGGAGATCCTCTGTGGCATCTAAAAGATTGAAAACCCATGTTATATAGTGCATGAAACTTGATCATTTTTAATGTCCAATAATATTTGAAACATACTTTTTATATTTATGAAATTTAATTATTTGCTAATATAGTACGTTTTATATTAGCTGCATATTGAAATATTACAATCCAATCAATTTGTCATACAGGTGCTGAGGACTTGGCTGGCCAAAATGGCGTCCGACATGCCGGTTTCAAGGGGTATAATGACCTTTTACCCCACAATTGAAGAATTCAAGAACTTCAACCGCTACATTGCGTATATGGAGTCCCAAGGTGCACACAAGGCAGGCCTGGCCAAGGTGAGAGGAAAACGCAGTGTAGCCTAAGCTTCTTCTGTTAAAAAAAAAAAAGTGCATAAAATTGTTGATTTTGCTTGACTGCAGATCGTCCCGCCCAAAAACTGGAAGCCTCGACGTTCATACGATGACATTGATGACTTGCTGATACCTGCACCGATTCAGCAGGTTGTGACTGGGCAGTCAGGGCTGTTCACCCAGTACAACATCCAAAAAAAAGCCATGACTGTGAAAGAGTTCCGTAAAACAGCCAACAGTGACAAGTAGGTCTTGTTAACCTTGTTACTCATTTTCCAGTGGAAATTGATTATAAACCTCATCTGCCCTCCCTGTAAGGTTTTGCAGTCCTCGGTATGATGATTTTGAAGAGCTTGAAAGGAAATACTGGAAAAATTTAACCTTTAACCCTCCTATATATGGAGCTGATGTGAATGGGACCCTTTATGACCCAGTGAGTAAACACTCGTAGGCAATCTGAATGAGTTCTGTATGGTTTCACTTTTGGTTTGAGTACTCTGTGATGTGAATGGAGTCATTTTCTTTTTCATGTCTTACACAGGATGTCAAAGAATGGAATGTAGGGCACTTGAATACCATCCTTGACACCGTGGAGCATCACAGTGGGATCACTATAGAAGGAGTGAACACACCCTACCTCTACTTTGGAATGTGGAAAACCACTTTTGCTTGGCACACTGAGGACATGGATCTCTATAGCATTAATTACTTACATTTTGGGGAACCAAAGTCTTGGTAAGTTTGCTTGTCAAAAATACAAAAATAATTTGTAGATGAAATGTGAACCCCGGGCCATAAAACGGGTTGCTGTAATTGTCTGTCCTTATGCCAAGTGCTAAATATGTCTGGAATGATCTCACAGGTACTGCGTGCCCCCCGAACATGGAAAACGACTAGAGCGGTTAGCCAAAGGTAAACAGCCTTTTGTGTCCTCAATTCTGTACAAGAAAATATTTTGCTCAATTTACATTTGCTCATATATATTGCTTCCTATTGTCTTCCTAAGGCTTTTTCCCTGGAAGTTCACAAAACTGTGAAGCATTCCTTAGGCACAAGATGACTCTTATTTCACCCTCAATTCTAAAGAAGTATGGCATTCCTTTTGAAAAGGTATGTTGTTGTGAGTGCATTTTGCCCCACTGATGACTTGATTTTTGTCATTAGTAGATCTTATTAGGCCTGTTTCACACTAGATGTGTACACAGACACAGTGAAAACACAGCATGTTAAATGCATATTATGTGTGGGACAGTGGGAGGGGAACACGGTCGCATCTGGGGCTGTAGTACTCGAGTCCGGTCTTCTATACATTTTTCTATGGTCTCGGACTTTGGACTCGACAAAGCTGGACTTGACTACAGCTCTAGTCGCATCACAGCAGAGTATGCTGCCTAACATAAATCAAAGCATGTGGCATACAGTTCTCAGAAGAGAACACCTAAAAAAGGTGGCACAATGGACAATACTTATCTGTATTTGCTGAACATAAGTCGAGGTTCATCTGCGCTCACAAACGTTGCCGGTATGAAAGCACAACAGTACGGTGCTGCTTGCATTCTTCTTATGCATCCAGTATAAAGCTGGCCTTAGGCGTCCTGTTTCCTCAATGTACATTTGTTTGTATTTGTAAATCAATTTAAGAAGGTTTTGTGATATAGTTGTTCATTCATGCTTTGCAGATCACTCAGGAGGCTGGAGAGTTCATGATAACATTTCCATATGGCTATCATGCAGGGTTTAACCATGGTTTCAACTGTGCTGAATCTACCAACTTTGCCACAAGACGATGGATTGACTATGGAAAGCAAGCTATAATGGTAATAATGAATGAATAAATAAATAACCATTCACAAGTTTAGGGTTGGGTAAATCACAGGAGTAAATAAAGTTTGAAAATTCATTAAAATAGAAAAAAAAATTCTGAATTGTAATTTTTCACAATATTACTGTTTTTGTGGCAAGTTCAAAAAACAACAGTGCATCAATCTTGGTATTTTTTCCCCCTCAGTGTTCTTGTAGAAAAGACATGGTGAAGATCTCCATGGATGTGTTTGTAAGGAAATTTCAGCCTGAACGGTACGAGTTGTGGTTGGCGGGGAAGGACAATGCTCCCATTGACCACTCCAAGCCTACGCCCGAAGCAGCTGAGTTTTTAGGTGGAGAGGCTGAGAAAAGTGGTGCTCAGGAACTCTGCTTTGAGAACCAAAGTAGTGAAGGACAAAAAAAGAGGTGATAAACACTCACTAAACTCTCATTTTCACGTACTGATATGTGAAAAGAAATCATGTTATATCAGTTTTAAATGTTGCTTTTTCCAATTAAATTAGCTTGGCTAAACAAAGGATAGGAACCAAAAGACACCGAGTGTGTCTGGATTTACCAGAGGAAGTTCTTCCAAAGAGTGAAACGAACGATGAGGAGGCTGAATATGGGAAGAAGAGCCGCTTGACTACATACACAGAACAATGCAGAGAGTATCCAGGTGCGTTATGTTGTAATGGTCTAAATTATAAATAAATTAAAAAAACGATTTTTATCGCAGTACTCAGGGTTTGCAGTGACAAAGTCACCATAAGTTGATAATTTTTAGAATTGACAAACTAAGGCAACTTTAAGTGATATATATATATATATATATATATATATATATATATATATATATATATATATATATATATATATATATATATAT